GGTAGCAGGCTACTTGGAAGGCTGAGGCAGAAGGATCACCTGAGCCCAGCAGGTAAAGACTGTGGTGGCCATGAGCATGCCACTGCACTCCGGCCTGGGCGACAGAGTGAGACTCCAACTCAAAAAAAGAATACAATTTAATAAAAAAATTTTTTAAAAGAACTATAGGCAAGTAGGTCTTAGCTTACTCAGATCTCAGGACCACCCTGAGAAGTCTTAATCCCATTTTACAGATGAGAGCACTGAGGCACAAAGAAGTGAAGTCATAGTTTGTAAGTGGCAGAGCCAGAATTCCACCTGAGGCCACCCAGGACCCTCCCCCAGAGTCTGCCTCAGGGTGGGTAAACACATCCCCATCGTCCAAAGGACTATAGTCATCAAGGGGCAGACATCTCCACAGAAAGACCTGCGGAGGCATTCAAACCTCTCCTGAGGGCCAAGGCTTCCTCTAGGGTGAGAGAATTCTAGCCCACAAGCAGAGAGACAGAATGAGTCCATGAGGGAAAACTGGGCTGCTTTTCCCTACATTCTACTCCCCTCAAGGGTTACCAAGGGTCAACCAAACCCACCAGGCCCAGAAAAACTCTCACATGGCCTAAACCCTGGCTAAGGCCACAGGGCTCCTGGTGAGAGCCCAGCGTCTACTCCTCGAGAACTTACCGGAAGGAATGAAAAACGTGTAGCCCTGTTTCAGCTCAATTCTTTGGCATCGTTCCACGCGGTCTCCCAGAAAGATGTCACTCTGTTTGCCTGACAGCACCCACTCCTCATAGAGTGCCAAATTGTGCAGTGTTGGAGGGATCAGCCAGAAGATCTTGGGAGGAAGAGGCAGTCAGCTGGAGACCCAAGCCAAAGTCTCCGATTTCTTCCAGGCCCTGACACAACCCAAAGAGAGCATCCCACCTGCCTGGGGCAGGAAGACAAGAGGGAAGAATCTGTCCCCAGGGTCCCCTGCAAGTCTGGGCCCAAATGGTCTCTGAGGAGGCAGGGAGGGCTATGACCACCTTGAGGGATTCTCCATCCCAGCTGAAATACCAGGGTGGGAATACTTCCTGGACTGGGTGGAACATTCTTTCTCCTAAGCCACAGGCGTGTCTGGGAGGTGGGGGAAAAAGAGGAAGGGAATTTCCTGAGCTGTATGATAAAATGGCCCAATAAACAAACCCAGTTTGTGCTCACTTTAGAAAAGGAGGCAAAACATCTGGAATCAAGTGGGCTGACTTCCTTCGAAAATTTCTTGTAACACGTTTGGTTAAAACAAACTTGTGCACGTGCAAGGCGGCACAAGCGTATTCTCAAGAAGCACCCACGTCTGTGCAGGGACACTTACTTCCCCACATGGACACGCACACAAAAGCAGACACAGCAGGAACACCCTGAACGTGCACCCTACCTCCTGTCCTGGGGTGATGGTTGTCAGTGTAAAATGTTCTTGGAGGTAGGTGGTGCTGGCAACTAGACTTCGAAGTTCAAAGGTTTTAGGGCTGAGGCCGAGGTGACAGGGAAAATGAATGCTGGAGGTTCTTGGGAGCCAAACCCTGCTTCAAATCTGGCCTAAGGGCTGGGGGGTCGTGGTGGTTCACGCCCATAATCCCAACACTTTGGGAGGCAAAGGCCAGAGGATTGCCTGAGCTCAGGAGTTTAAGCCCAATCTGGGCAATATGGCGAGACCTCACCTCCACAATAAATCAAAAAATATTGCCGGGCTCGGTGGCTCAGCCTGTAATCCCGCGCCTTTGGGAGGCTGAGGTGAGTGGATTGCCTGAGCCCGCGGTTCTAGACCCGCCTGAGCAGGCGAGACCTCATCTCTACAATAAATCAAAAAATTAGCCGGGCATGGCAGCGCGCACCTGTAATTCCGGCTACTCGGAAGGCTGAGG